GACACTATAAGTTATGCATACTTTTAAATACAAATTTAACCTAAATAACGTTCATATTAAAAATAAATACATAACAATAAATTCATTACACCTTTCATCTGTAGACCATAGTCCTGAAGCCTCCTACTGGTCGAACCACACCCCCAGCCTTGGAGATGAGCATTAGGGAAGAAAAATAATCCAGAAGAGGGGCAAGAAGAGGTAAACCTGGCATTGTGTAGGATATGTTCAACTATCGATGCATACAGATGAAGAGGGAAGGATGAAAATTAAAAGGAAAACCCAAAATAAAGGCTTGAATAATAGATAACTTCCTTCAAACGCATTTGAGGAGGAGAATGGATGGTCCCGATGGAGGAGGTGTTTAAAAATACACACCCCAAAGAGACTAAAATGTGAGGTATGTAACAGCAAAAACTTATCCAACTGTAAAATTCAACTACTTGAGTTCACTGTGGAAGAAGTTGATGAGCATGTTAGGACTACCCATTTCAGCCATTTTTACTTGATGGAAACCTAACTTTAAGGAAATCATTGTTTAATGTATTTAATTCGCTTTGAAATTTACTAATGTATTCCATTTATGTACTCTGGCTTTCTCTCAACTGTTGGATACTTTCTTCTTGTTTATTTTGTTTCTCCTCTAACCACTGCTGTAGTCTCTCTTGTTGTTTCTTTTCTTTTTCCTCCAACAGCTGCTGTAATCTCTCTTCTTGTTTCTTTTCTCGTTCTTCTTGTTTCTTTTTCTGTTCTTGTATTGCTGTAGTTTGATTTGCCACTTGTGGTTTCCATTTTGTTTTGTTTTCCCACTCTCTAACACCAATTTGTTACGTCTCTGGTCGTTTGTTAGTTTCCCATATAATTTCTTTCGGATGAAACTTTGGCGACACAAGTCCTTTCTTAAATAAAACTAGTTTATTCTTTCTCAATACAACTTTGCAATACACAGAATTTTCATGGTCACATTAACTTTAACACACGCTATATTTTACAACGATTCACGCACTTTACTTCTGTCACTACCGCTCACTTGACTCAAATATCTGTCTCTATATCTCTCTGTCTGCTATCCAATTATCTATACTGTCACTTTATTTGCCGTCTTATATATATACAAAAATAGAGGGCGCGTAGAAAAGACTAGAGTTGCCACGAACAGACATGATCTTTGTAGAATCTCATGATGTGTTACTAGCGTTACGTGACTTCTGCTGTCATAACATTCCATAACCGGGACACTGGACACTCATATTTCATTGATGGTAGTGTCAAGGTTCACTGATGAGCAGTGGATTTCTCCAAAACTAGTGTGGCTCACAGACACACCCACAATGAAACATAGACCA